CTTTTTTTTTTTCAATATAATTTCTTATATTTTTTATATAATTTCAATGGTGAAGTCCTCTGGAAATCTTCAATAATTGTTGTTGATTGCAGATGTGTCTAGTAGTTCCCATTGATTTAGCTTGGAAAGCGGGGAGAATGGCGCTAGGCTAACAGCACCATGACATCACTGCTGGAAGATGGCAGGAGGGAGGGGCTACTAGATTTGGGCTAAAATGGCCGCTCCCAGACTCAGTGATCGCAACAAAAATTATTATTATTTTTTTTTTTTACTGGTTATGCTGAATTAATAAAATCATCATTGATTATTCCACGCTGACAAGACTTTTCCTTTAATATAAACCACTGTCTTAGCAGGAGATGAACTTCTAATGGAAGGAAGGAAATTAGATTATTATTATGATTATTATTAATATTCCTTGCTGACACAGTTAAGAATTATGTACTTTTACAAAAATCCCCTTTCCAAAAAAAAAAAAAATCAAGATCTTTGAAAGTGCAGAGGGGGGAATTCTTCATAACAGAACAGCATTATATTTTTTTTCAAAACACTTTTTAGAAACAGAATTATAAAACATTACGGTTCCAAGTGAGAAACAGTGCAGTGTTCAGGCAGGAGGACACGATGCCCCTAAAGCCGCAGTTTAGACTCTAGCAGAGTCAGTAGCCTGATAATCTGACTGACTGATGGTACTGATTCAGCTCTCAAAGTTTCTTGGGTAAAAACAATGTGTTGCTTTAAAGAGATTATTTTACTGTGACTAATGTCTGCGTTTCTCTATAGAAAATAAATAATCCTCTCCTAAATATTACACCAACATGCTTTCTGGAATTTAATATAAACCAACAGTAACATAAATGTTTACTTCCTGAGATGAATCAGTCAAGGATCAGTTATTTGCATTTCAACTTCACTTCCAAACTTAATATTAACATCAAGTTACTAAACTAACTAAAGTGACTAACTGGATGTGCTCTCTTCATCCTCTGACATGGGAGTTAGCTTCCTGGACGGGGCCGCCTGTGGAGCTGGTTGACAGTTGCCTTTTGTATCTA